GCCCCCGGGCGGGGAGTCAGGAGTGTCTGTCTGTGGAGTGCACTCCACAGAGCTTCCTGGTTCAGGGCAGACCTCCTGACTCTCCTGGAGCTGGGCCCACGTCTGGTTAGACCTTTGTGAACACGGGCGGATTGGGTGAGAGTCACCATGTGGGCACCTTTCTCTGATGTGTTCAGCTGGCTGCTCTGGCTGTTTCCCATGCCAACTGTGGGCAACCTCAGGTCACTGTTTGTACCCCCTGTTGTGGGCCGAGTTGTGTCATTTGTGGGGTTGTTGGGGGTGGCGTCGATCATGTAGGAGCTTGTTGACATCTTTGTACCCCCGGCGGTCATTCCTATAGTAACATTTTTGTCTACAAGACAGTCTGCCTGTTGGTTCCTCTCCCTGCTGGTGGTATCATTTTGGTTGGGCCTGGTCATTGGCAGCACACTGCCTCAGCAGCGCTGGTCTTTGCTTCCTCAACAGCCTGGACACAACCCGAGGCGTCGGAGGTCGTCGGGGTCGTTCACGGGGTGGCATATCTCAGCCCCAGCCTTAAAAACCACATCTCCCCCCACCAAGTCCACTGGAGACGCAACAACAACATGAAGCTGGCCAGCAGGGACAGCGACGGGAGGGTCCAGTACCCCAACAGCAGCTACAAGGGACGCCTGGAGCTCTTCCCCAACAACACCCTCAAAATCACCCACCTCCAGAAAAACGACAGCAGCACGTACCAGGTGTACCTGGAGGACAACGTGGGCAAGGAGCACATCGAGAACATCCTCCTGGTGGTGTACGGTGAGCTGGGAGGATGGGAGGGTTGTCCCAGGGGTGGGGGACGGGGAGGTTGTGACATCTCGTTGCCTCTTGCAGACCTGGTCCCCAAGCCCGTCGTGAGTGCCAGAGTGTTCAAGAGCGACCTGGAGTTGTGCAATGCCACCCTGGAGTGCTGGGTGGGAGTCGATGGGGTGATCTACGAGTGGATCCCCCCCCAGAGGATCCAAGTGAAGGATGGGGGTGCTGCTGAGCAGCCTGTGTCCTTCAACCCCTTGGTAGAAACCTACACCTGCAGAGTCAGAAACCCTGTCTCGTCCAACAGCTCCTTGCTGATCTACAAACACCCCTGCTCCTGGACAGGTACCACCCTTGGTGCACACAGGAGATGACCAAACTCGGGTGGGGTGGGCTGCAAGGTGGCCTTGGCTTTGGAGGGTCCTTGGAAGAGCACCAGGGACCCTGAGGGCAACGGGTCTCTGCAAGACTGGAGGGTGGGTGAGGAGTGCTGGGTCTCTCTTCTCTCTGCACTGTGGGCTGGTGGGACCCCAGCTGGGGAGGGGATGGGGGTGGTCCTCTTCCAGGGCTGGCCCACGGCCCTCCCAACACCCTTGGTGGTCTCCCTCTGCCTCCAGCTGAGTCTTCGGCAGCTGCATCTTGCACCGTCACCAGCGTGCTGGTGGCCCTGGGACATCTCCTCCTCCTCCTCCTCCTCCTCGCTCTGATTTAAGGACGCTCTGCGGTTGACATCTCCTCACCTCATCACCCCCTGGCGTGGGACCAGCACCTGGATGAGATTCCCAAACCATCTGGATGCAGAAAGATGCAGTAGCTCAGGGGAACCATTGTAACCAGCGTCTGTCACACCACCACTCACCAGCCTCACAGTCCCACCAGCCCAGGCCCTGCCACTGCCCTCGGCGTCGCTCCCTGCCTCAGTTTCCCTCCTCACCTTTCCCATTTCGTCTTTTTTTCATCATAGGTCATGTTGTCCCAGTCTGAACAAAACAGGAAGCGATGATTTGAAAACCCCAGCACTAAAATGTTGAATTCATGGTGAACTTCCTGGAAATTCTCCTTTCCCCCACCCGGAGGTCCGTGGGGAGACCCAGTCTGAGCCATTCCCAGGGCTCCCCGTGGACATCTTGGTGGTGGATCCTCGGCCACTCCCTGCTGTGGGCGATGCCCTTTGTGGGACTCGTGAGCTCTGCAGGATGTGTTTAGCCTAAAACCAGTCACACCAGCATGGGTACAACCAGGAGCTGCTGCCCACCCCCCAGGTCTGGGCCACCAGAGCATCCCGGGGGGGGCAGAGCTGATGTGGCACCTTTGGCTTTCTCTGCCAGGAAGGATTCGACAGGTTGAGTTCAGCCTCTGCCTTCAGGGGTCTTTTTATATACATTAAATTCCTTTTTTAACTGAAACCACACCGTTTTAGGTGCCTGCTCTGTGTTGTCCTCTGTGGTTGGACACGGTGGGTGCTCAGGGATTGGGGGTGTGATGGAAGGAGCTGTTTTTCCCCCCTCTTCAACACCCTTCCTGGGGGGCCAAGAGCCCTTCCATGGGAGGAGCTGGCTCTGGAGGGTGGGCCCATCGCAGTGGGAGGTTGTGTCTCGTTGAGATGATCCCTCAGCCTGTAAAGGAGGGATGGGGACACGTCTCGGAGCCACCACAGCCCTGGGGTGCTGCTGATGCTGCCAGCTCCAGCAAACCAGCCCCAGGAATGGGAGAACTGGGTTCTACTCTCCATAAAACCCAAGAGGCACCACTTTCCAGAGCTGGCGTCGAGCAAGGACTCCTCAGATCAGCCTCATCAAAAGGTCAACAGGGACCTCACTGGCTCCTTTGAAAAAAAACCAGTAAGACTCAACAACCATTCCAGCTCCTGGTTCTACTCAGTGGCTCAGGGTGATTTCTGCTGGGTGGCTGATGGTTCTATTTATATTCTTGCAGAAATCCCTCCCCACCCCCTTGAAAATATTTGCTCGGCTCTCGGTCCATTCCCATATGGACCTTTGGGGTTCTTCTGCCCCTGACAAAGCCCAGGACAACCACTGAGCACCATCATCATCATGGTTTTGCTTAATTTTTCCCCTTCCTCCTGCCCAGTGCCAGCCCAGCCTCGGGCACGTGGCTTTGGTGGTGCCCCTTGGCTGCTATTGGGTTTTTATGGTTTTCCTGGACTCTTTTGTGGTCAATGTTCTTCTCCACGCCAGCACAACCTGCACCCAAGCATGAGGCACCCATCCATGGCCAGTGAAGGGTTGGGGACCACCCTGTTGCCTTACCTGAGGGGCCGATCTGGTGGAGACATCCACTGGGGACCTCCTTGAGCAACATCTCTTCGGGTGGGATGCTCCCCAGGGAAGGTGGCTGCTCTGCAGGACACCTCAAGGTGATCATCTGGCCAAGTGCTTGGTCCAGGAGCCAACTGCCTCCAGTAGGAACCACTGTTGTGTCTCAGCTGAGCCAAAGCTCCTGGTGTCCGTGTGGGTGAGAGAAGGGGCTGAGTCCCCTCATCCTGCTCTTACTCATCCTTTTCTACACCTCTGCTGAGCTCTTCCCTCCTGTGAATTGCTGAGTTTTTGGGAAATGGCTTGTTTTGGTGGTTTTTTTTCCTTTGTCATCTAGATGCTTTCTGAACGGGAAGGGTGCGATGTGGTTTTGGGCTTTTGGTCATCAGAAAGTTGTTGGTGACAAAACGGACGGAGGTCTTGGAGCAAGGAGGTGTAAGCTCACCCTTTATGTCCTCATGATGTTTAGAACATCACAGGGACTCCTGCTTCGTGCTCTCTCCTCTGCAAAGCAGAAGAAAACAATGGAAACTTGAAGAAAACAAGAGGAAAAAAAACGTTCTCCCATTCTAGGGTGTCACGGGCCGAGGGTGAATAATTCATTCCAGTAAAAACACAAACCCAGAGTTTTTTCTCACCCCTCTCCAGCAGTGGAAGAAGTGAGAGGTGGTTTCCCCATGCCCAGCGCTCTGCTGAGCGTGGGACGCTGAGGTCCCTGCTCCATCCCCACCCTGGGGGAGGATTGTCCCCATCCCCAAGCACCCGCGATGGAGAAAACCAAGGTCCAGATCCTTTCGAGAGAAAACCAAGGTCCAAGATCCCTTCGAGGGCCTCTAAGATCTTCAGGCAGGCTTAGAAGAAATCTGGGGACAACATAAGGGGCCAACGCAAGGGGGGATGGGTTTAAATTGAAAGAGGGAGATTTAGACTAGAGAAAAAGGAGAAATTTTGGATGCTGAGGGTGGTGGGACCCTGGCCCAGGTTGCCCAGAGAGGTGGTCGAAGCCCCATCCCTGGAATCATTCCAGGTAAGGTTGAGGGCTCTGAGCACCCTGCTCTAGTTGGGGATGTCCCTGCTCCCTGCAGGGGGTTGGGTGAGATGAGCTTGAAAGGTCCCTTCCCACCCAAACCAGTCCATGGTTCTATCACCTCCTTGAGTGTTGAGCCTGAGCACAAAGTTTGGGCTTTTCCTTGGTGAGGTTTTAAAGACCACCTCCTCATAGATCCCCTGAAGCCCAAAGCAGCACTATGGGTTAATCCCAGAATATTTGAGGCCCCAAAGCAGAATTAGGGTTTAATCCCAGAATATTTGGATCCCAAAAGCAGAATTAGGAGTTAATCCCAGAACCTTTAGGGCCCCAAAGCAGAATTAGGCTTTAACCCCAGAATATTTGGGGCCCCAAAGCAGGATTAGGAGTTAATCCCAGAACATTTAGGGCCCCAAAACAGGATTAGGGCTCAATCCCAAATTATTTGGCACTTTCCTGCACCGATGGGCATCATGGCTGCGAGCACCAGTGACCACCAGTGACCACCAGTGAACCATGGGACTGGGATGAAGGAGCAGCAGCAGCTGGGATGCTGCCATGTGAAGACAGTGGCCATCTCCACCTCTATCTCCATCTCCACCTCCATCTCCCCCTCTGTCTCCATCTCCACCTCTGTCTCCATCTCCACCTCCATCTCCCCCTCTGTCTCCATCTCCACCTCTGTCTCCATCTCCACCTCCATCTCCCCCTCTGTCTCCATCTCCACCTCTGTCTCCATCTCCACCTCCATCTCCCCCTCTGTCTCCATCTCCACCTCTGTCTCCATCTCCACCTCCATCTCCCCCTCTGTCTCCATCTCCACCTCTGTCTCCATCTCCACCTCCATCTCCCCCTCTGTCTCCATCTCCACCTCTGTCTCCATCTCCACCTCCATCTCCCCCTCTGTCTCCATCTCCACCTCTGTCTCCATCTCCACCTCCATCTCCCCCTCTGTCTCCATCTCCACCTCTGTCTCCATCTCCACCTCCATCTCCCCCTCTGTCTCCATCTCCACCTCTGTCTCCATCTCCACCTCCATCTCCACCTCCGTCTCCATCTCCACCTCCACCTCGTTCTCCACCCCCGCTGTGCTCAGCAGGGCTCGAAGGCTCTGTACAGCCCCGGGAAGTTGTTACCATAAGTGGGGTGATTTTCTTGCTGGTCATTTCCTCTTCTTTTGGGGTCTACTGAAGGTCCCGTGGTAGGATGATGCATCCCTGCTACAAACTCTACCTCAACGCTCTGCTTCTTTCTGCAGGTCTCTGGGGTTGTCCCCAGCGACGAGAATCGACGCTTTCAATACTTTCTGCTCAAAAAACCCAGAAAGAATCATTCAGCCAAAAACAGGAAACACATGGCCCCGGGGCAGAGCCTCTGATTTGACTACACCTGCTCTTCAAATGAGCCCAGCAGCAAATATTAGCCCCAGAGCAGCAGAGGCTCCGTGAACCGAGGCATGGGCTGCGTCTGCCTCTGGCTGCTCCTCTCTCTCGGCTGCGTTGGGGGTAGGTCTAGTTCTTTTTTTAAATGAAATGTTTTGGATTGTTTGGGGGATTTTTTTTGGCAGATATTGAGAACTTTGGAAAAACAACGAGCCGCCTGCCGGGCGGGTGGGTGGAGTGGGAATGTTCATCTGGAAGATAAACGGCTGGCAGCTCCGGGTTGGATGCGTGGCGCATCCCTAATAGGCTCCTAGCAGGCAGGAGGAGGGAGGAGAGGATAAAAGATGATGAATGAAGGGAGATGTGGATGGACAAAGTGTGGCTGCAAGAGAGGAGCTCTGCGGGGGGTTTGGATGGGGTGTTTGCAGCCCTGAGCAAAGGATTTAGGACCAGAGGGGAGTTGGGGTAGTTGAGAGGAAGGTCCTTGGGGGATTGTCTCGCTTGTCGTGAGATCGAGTGCCTCGGATCAAGAGGTGCCACTGGGCTGGGAGATGGAACCCAAGAAGAGGTGTTTAAGATGAAGGAAAGGGACTGGCAACAGGGCAATGCCTGGGTTTGGGGTGCCTGGAGAGCCCTGGCCAGAGGTGGATGGTGTTGTGGAGGTGGTGGGGTCCTGGATGAGTCAAAATCCCCTCCCAAACCAGCTGCTTGGCAAGTGAGGACCACCCGGACCCCCTGAGCTCCCACCTCCTTTCCTCCCAGCCCGTCCCAGTTAGGGTTGCCTGCTGCAAAGCTCGTTCCTCTCCTGGGGAGCCTGAGCAAGAGCAGAGGGATTTGGGGCCCCTGAGCAGAGCCAAGGGAGCTGTGACTGATTTGGACCCTCCTCTTGGTGCCACCATGACGTCTGCTCCTCTTCCCCGGGGATTTGCAGCCCCGTGGGCCCTCCACCACTGTCTGCGTCACTACTGGGTGCAGACCTGGGCCAGGACACCAGAGACCTGGGCAAAGCCGAGGTTTCTCCTCAGAGCTGAAGTTCCTCCTCAGCTCTTCTGGCTCCACATTCCTCCAATACCTGCCTTTAAAATCCCCACGGGGTTTTCTGTCTAACCAGCACCCTGAAAGTCCCACCAGCTCCATACCTGATGCTGCTCTGGACTGTGCTGGTGCAGATCACTTCCCATCCTCCAACCCTTCCATCTGACCTTCAGCATGGATGGGTTGAGACCTAGCTGAAAGTCTGAGGACCTCTGAAGGTCTGAGGACCTCAGGAGGTCTGAGAACCTCCCTCGTCCTTCATCCTCGCTCCAGTCCAAGTCATCTTCTCCACAGAGGCAGAGGGTTTTTCTAACATGACATAAAAGGGCTTTTCCACCTGGTAGTCAGCAAAGAGCCCAAGTGCTGCACGTCAGGAGGACGTGGTGCTGAGAAGACATCTCCTCCATCCCTGTGCTGAGATTTACAGTAAATCAGCTGAAAAAAAAACCCTGTGTGAGGCCCTGGGGTGGCTGGACCGTGGGGTCTCTGTGGGGTGACGGCCGTGCCAGCACGGCTGCTTCGGTGCTGGGGGGGTGTAAACCCCAGGGACAGCTCCAAAACTGGTGGGTTTTGTGCCACGGAGCTGGGAAAAATAAAAATTAGTGGTGGTGCTTCCTGGAGAAGGTGGCGGGGGGAGCGTTGGCTCTGTGGTTTGAACTGGAAGTGTGTGTGCTGCAGGAGGGGCAGACCCTGGGCTCGTCTGGGCTCCCCCAGGTCTGGACTTTTAGGGTTGCTCCCCCACTTCCTTTTTCTCTTTTTTTTTTTCCCCTCTCTGGGGTAAAAATCTCACCCCAGTGGAAAGAAGCTGTTAGGAAACGTGGGGGTGACACGGTGGGGTCCCTGGCAGCAGGGCTGAGCTGGCACCTCTCCCCACGCTGTTTCCTACAAAAACAAACTTGTTTGCCCGGGCTGTGGGCAAATATGAATCACTGCCTTGCAGCAGAGAGGAGAGGAGCTGGGAGAGAAGGTGCTCTCTAGGAAACCTGGGTGGTTGAGATGCTTTGGGACCCATGGGAGATGTTTGCACCCCTCTTCTTTTGAAAGCACTTTTCTCTGGCCACCAAAACATGCACCTGGCACCACCTCGGCCAGGAGAAGGGCAGCCTGGGCTTTGCACCTCCAGGAATTTCTGGGCACTTACTGCCATTTCTACAAGTCCCACCAGATGTTTCTGGAGCTGAGGTGCTGGAGGAGGGTGGGTGCCATGACGTGCACCCAGCTGCAGGCTTTGGCCAAGAGCCACCACCAAGCACCACCTCCCTCTGGACCGCACTGGTGTCACTGGGAACTCCCCAGGCTGGTCCCACCACTACCAGCATCCTTGTCCCAGGACCATCATCCCTGTCCCGAGACCGTCATCCCTGTCCCGAGACCATCATCCCTGTCCCAAGACCATCATCCTTGTCCCAGGACCAGCACCCTTGACCCAGGACCAGCACCCTTGTCCCAGGACCACCATCCCCACCAGACTGGGGCTGCAAGCACCTTCTCTTTGGAGGCACCCCTGCCACGTGGCTGTCGTGCCAGTGGGGAGCCCGGAGCCTTCCACCAGGATTTGGCCACTGCACGCAGGGTGCCCAACCCAGGAGAGAACTGACGCTGCTGCAAATGAAGCAGCATTCAGGGAGGAAGATGATGAAGGCGACGTTTCTCCTCCAGCTCCTGAGCTGAGCTCTCAACCCACATCCTTCAAGGGACAAGGATGTGAGGCTGGGGTGGCTCCTTTGGTTCTGGGGATGGTCTTGCAGGGTGGGCACAGGGCAGAGCTCGCCCTGAGCCCCAGCACACAGTGTACCCTGTGTCCTCACCCAGGAGCAGCCGTGGTGGGGCAGGATGTGGTGGGTAACCCAGAGCTCGATCACACAAATAATCTGCTCAATTCTTTATCTCAGGCAGCCCGAGCCCTCCCCAGCCTGCAGGTGACAAGGGTGACTCCAGCGCCGTCACCAGAGCCAGGATGGGGAGGGGGGGAAACGGCCTCTCCGAGCCCACCCGTTGCCTCCCTGCTTGCCTCAGCCCTTCTCTCTGATCTCCCACCAGGAACGGGCCGCGGGGTGAGGGAGAAGGTGCTGGGCACCCTGGGGAAGGCGACGACGCTGCGGATCCCGCCGGAGCTCCGGGAACTCACCCAGAGCTTCAGGTCGGCCACCTGGAAGAGGGACACGGAGGACCCGCACAGGAAACTTGTCCTGCTCAGCTACTCCCAGGGCAAATACACCAACTACATGAAGGAACGAATTTCCTTCCACGAGGACACCTTCTCCCTGGAGATCCTCAACACCAGCCGGCAGGACTGGCAGATCTACGAGTACAGTGTCAGCAAGGGCTCGGAGGAGGAGGTCTGGCAGATACAGCTGGAGGTGTACGGTGAGGCACGTTGCTTGGGGAGGACCTTGTTGGGTGTTCCCAGCCTCTTGTGGTGCTGGGAGCAGGTTTGGGAGGTGGACGGTGGTCCAAGGTGGGGGTGGGAGATGCCCACCCTGATGCCAAGTGAGTCCAGGACCCTCTGCAGCCCCATGTGAGTACGCCCAGGAGCCTTTGGGTCTGTGGGAACCACATCCTGCTCTAGAGCCGTTTGCAGGTGCAGGGCTGGCCAGGTTCTTCTCCATCTCCTGGGTTTTTAGGAGAGGCCAGCAGGCTTTCCCAGGCCAAAGCAACGTTTGCATCCTCCCCTGAGCACAACCCTTCTCCCTCTCTCCTCCTCCCCAGAGCCGGTGTCCGACCCCAGCATCGAGATCCTCCGCTGGGCGTTGGCCAACGGGACCTGCACCCTCACCCTCAACTGCACGGCGGAGCGAGGGGACCACGTCTCCTACAGCTGGGGTGGCCAGGACAGGGGCACCCCGGGGCTCTGCTCCCACAACGGCAGCCTCCTGCACCTCTCCTACCCCCTGCAGAACGTGAGCATCGCCTGCTCCTGCACCGCCAGCAACCCCGTCAGCCGCCGGGTCGCCACCTTCAACTCCTCCGAGTGCAGCTACAGCCAAGGGGGTGAGTCCTCACCTGGGGACCTGGCTCCTTCCCCAGCTCCCCTGGTCTTGCTCTTGGGTGGCAGGGGACTTTTTCCACATCATCTGCTCAGGGTTGCCCAGTTCTTCCTGTAAATGCTAACCTGTGGGTCTCACTTGCCTCCCTGGCCGCCCTGCTTGCCACGCCTGGATGCTCCAGGATGCTTTTCAAGACGTGAGACTCGTACCCCGGGTGGTTTGGGGAGGATAAAAACCTCGGTGACAACTTCCCTTCGGAGGCTCGTGGGGTGACAGTCACGCTCTCACTCAGAGGGATTTTTTTAGCCCTCCCTTGTGACGTGGGGGAGTTTTTCTGGGGGTGGGCAGGGACTGTGTTGGTTGCCCCATTCCCTGGGGATCTGGAGGTGAGGTCACACCTCTGCTGGGAATCTGGCCGTGACCTGTGCTGGGAAAATGGTCAGGACTAGGCAAGCGAGATGCTGGGATGAGATGCTCCAAGGGGGTTTCAGGCTTGTTCCTCACCCCAAAACCCCTTGTGATGTGGACACCCCGGTGTGGTGTCACCATTGGAGGTCCAGGAGCGGGGGCAACCGGGTGCCTCCCTGTGGTGGGTTCCCAGCTGGGGCTGCAGAGCTGTCCCAGGGCCATCCTCCCCCCACGCATGGGTGTTTTACAAAGGGTCTCCCTCTCTGCAGACCTCCATAAAGCCATCGGAGACATTTTTAGGGCTTTATCTGCCCCTGATCTGGCCCGCAGCAGGTTTTTCGCTGACTGTTGCAGTCTGGAGGCAATTAGAGAGAGAGAGCTCTGCTGAAGATGTGCACTTCCTGCCCGTGCTTCCTGTTCTACCAAAATAAGCAGCCCAAAATTAGGCAAGGAGAGGAGAAAAGTTTTGATAGCAGCTTGCTCTGCTCACCCTGGGGTGACCCTGGGCTGCCAGCTGAACTCCTTCCCTCTCCCCTCCCAGGCAGCGGGAGGCTGTGGTGGGATCAGCTGGTGCTGGTGGTGGTGGTGCCCATCGCCATGGGGATGCTGCTCGTCGGGATCTTCATCGCCCGTCTGGCCACGTCCACTGGTGAGTGACTCCAGGGAGGGGGGCTGGGGTGGCTGGTGGTCCACAAATGGGCTGAGCCTCAGGGGGGCCATGAAAACTGCCCCCTGCCAAAACCCCTGAGAGGCCCAAGGGGGCAATTCCTGTGAGTGCATCGTCTGTGGGGTTAACCTGGCCCGTGGGGAGGAGCAAAATGGGTTTCTCTTGAAGCATGGAAAGGGGAAGGAAAGCAGCTGGAGATAAAAGAGAAAACAAGAGAGGAAAGGGAAAAAAATGGGGAAGGAAGAGAAAAAAGAAAGAGGGAAAAAAGAAAAAAATAGGGAAAAAGAGAAAAAAGAAAAATGATATAAAGAAAGATAAAAAAAAGAGAGAGAGGAAAAAAGAGGGAAAAAAGAGAAAAGAGAAAAAAGAAAAAGGAGAAAGGAGGAAAAAGGAAAAAAGAGGGAAAAGAGAAAAAAGAGGAAAAAAGAAAAAAGAGGAAAAAATAAGGACAAAAGAGAAAAAAGAGAAAAAGAGAAAGAGGGGAAAAAAGAGAAAGAAAGGGGAGAAAAGAAGGAAAAAGAGAGAAAAGGGAAAAAGTTAAAAAAGAAAGAAAGGGGAAAAAAAAGAAAAAAGAGGAAAGAAGAAAAATAAAGAGGAAAAAGGAAAAAAAGAGGAAAAAGAGAAAAGGGAGAAAGAAAGAGCTGGCCCCTGGTGGCCTTAAATCCACAGCCAGGTCTAGTGAGTGGCAGCTCACCCACAGCAGGGTGCCCAGGATCCCATCCAGCCCAGTTTGGGATCTCTCCAGTTTGGAGACTCCACAGCCTCTCTGGGCAGCTGCTCCAGGCTCGGCCACCCTCCCCCCAAAGAAGTTTCTCCTCCTGCTCAGGTGGCACCTCCTGGGTTCCAGTTGGTGCCCGTTGCCCCTTGGCCTGTCCCTGGGCACCACTGAGCAGAGTCTGGCCCCAGCCTCTTGCCCCCCGGGGGCCCTTTAGCTCTTGCTCAGCACTGCTCAGATCCCCTCTGAGGCTTCTCTGCTCCAGCTCAGCAGCCCCAGGGCTCTCAGCCTGGCCTGGCACAGAGATGCTCCAGCCCCTCAGCATCTCCAGAGCCTCCTCTGGACTCTCTCCAGCAGCTCCTTGTCCCCCTTGGCCTGGGGAGCCCAGCAGTGTCCCCAGGAGCCCAGCAGTGTCCCCAGCACTCCCCAGGTGACCTCCTTGGGGCCGAGCAGACGCTCCCTGCTCCTCTCCCAGCTCCCTGACCCCCCTCTCCCCCCACAGCTGCCCGGGGGCAGGAGCTCTCCCCGCTGGCCGAGGACACCACGGTGCACACCATCTACTCCCAGGTCCAGCGGGTGCAGGTGAGACAGGGCAGCAGCTGCCCTCAGCTCCTGGGGGGCAAAAACTGCTCCTTCGAGGGTGAAAACGCTCCCTGAGCGGTGGGA